TCCATTTGAGCTCGAGCCATCGAAGAATATCAAGAACTTGACTAAGCGCTTAGTAATAAGAATAGGCATCTTATAAGCTAGATTTGCAAGCTAGATTTGCAAGCTAGAATTTCGTAAAACTACTTTTTGCAGCCACCTTTTACAATTAAAAATTACGATTATAGATTCTTTTCCCCCCCAGTTCTTCACGTTTTCTTTTCGAATACTTGAACATTAATTAATTAACAATTAATGATTAATAACAATAATGCTCAAGAAACAGCTAGCTGCATCGGGCTAAAATGGGCTATTGCTACGAACCGAATGCTCGAAAGATAGCTGGCCACACCGCGTTGAATAAGGCTGGAAAAGGTCTATGGTTATAGATGAAATGCTTAAAGAACAGCTGATTGTATCGCGCTACAAAAGGCTATTGCCATTAGACGCTCAAAGAACAGCTGGCCGCCCTGGGCTAATAAGAGGTCCTACGGCTATAGATTAGATGCTCGAAAAAACAGCTGGCAGCATCAAGCTGACGAAGGCTATTGCTATAGATTGAATGAATACTCGAAGGACGGCTGGCTGTACCAGCCTGAAAGGGGCTATCGCTATAAATTATAGCTACGAATATTACATCGCGGAGTCCGGCAAACTTATCCTGGAGCTTGCGGAATGCCGCGAGTTTGAGCTTGCGGCCGGGCGAACGCGTTATATTTTGTTTGCATCCTTTTGAAGCGTATTTCTTGTACAGAATTGATGTAGCATTAATGTTAATGTTAAAGGCCTCGGAAGGCAGCCTTGCACTACCGGTACAAGCGAGGCGAAGCGAGGTCCCTTGGCCCCGGAGCTGGCGGAGGGCCGCCAGGGTATGAGGTCATAAGCTGTTTCGTGCATTAGCTTTTTAGACTGGTTTTCGATTTCTCCTCCTCCTCCTCCTCCTCCTCCTCCTCCTCCTGCCCCTCCCGTCCTGTCCCTCTCTCTATAATCTCCCTCAATGCCTCGTCCAAAACCTTATCAAAGCAAACATTGGTTCCATGGATCAGAGTCAGAGGTATGTATAGCTAATTCTGTCTAGCTAACAACTATTTTTGCAACCCGTAACCGGGATTTTTGTTTTTCATAGTCGTCACACAGTCGTTAAATATACTGATTCTTCGCTCTCTTTAGTGATCGTGAGCATTGTCAGCCATTGCATTCATTCCGCTCATCTGTGGGGAAGACTCGAGTTCTGTGAACCTGCAGGCATTCCTCAATTCAGGATACCTTTGTTGAAATGGCTCGTCCAAACTGAAGTTCGCTTCGGTTTCGATGTGTTGAATGAATGCCTCCGTTGCCATTACTTCTTCCCCGACGAACATGAGAATATTCTCCTCTCCATAAGGCCAATTCACATTGACGCTGGCGTTGTACAGTTCCATGAACTCTGCCGTCGCATACTTTTCCTGGTTGCTGATCACTACATCTCGCATCCTCCCCCAAGCCAGCTATGTTGCCGGTCAGCAAGGATCATCGACACGCATTCCTTCTTTGCGACTTGGCTTACCAATGTGGTCCAGATCGGATGCGCCGTCGACATTTGCGAGGGCCGTGGGCGAAACCGTTCCGGCATACTGCTGTAAGTATTTACGTCAGGCAATATTTGCCATTGGCAAAAGTGGTAAACCAAAAACGCCGCTGCCACCTTCTCCGCAAGGGATCGAAACCTGACCCGAAGAAAAAGCTGTGCAATAACGGAGGCGACTGGATGTGTTTTGCTCGACATCTCAAGACTGGTGAAGGCTTTGAGATCTGGATAATAGGGTCCGATGGGTGAGCTCCCCGGCGTGCTCTCAATTACCAAAGCTCTCTGACGTTGCAGCAGACTGAGTAGAATTCTTTCGAGTGGCCCCTTAGGTGGTGTGAAGACTAGATTGAATCTCCAAGGCAAAACGGGGGTGAAAGTGCTTGGAGCTAACTCGTAAGTTGGCCTATTCTGCGGTGCTGATACCTGTGAGTCCGTTTCAGCATTTTGGAGGTTGGTTGTCAATAGATGATCGTTCAGAGATGGCATAGCAGGAGCGTTGCTGTTGAGCATGCCAGTAATTATTGGTGGGTTACCGATTATAGATGTTGGATGGCCAGTCAGCGGTGGGGGACCGACTCCAATTGTAAGTCCAGTCATTGCTATTCCTAGCGGTTTGCTCGCCGGCAGATCTATCATTATGTTAAAACAATATTACCATACTTTTCATAGATGTTCAACGAACCGCGTTGTCCATCGAGATATGATCTACTTCGTCCGACCTGGGGCCGCGAAATTGGGCCACCCCCCCGGATTGGTGATGCTATCACAGGAGCGTTCGTGATATTTTGGAAGTCGGGTTCCGATATGAAGGTTTCGGGGTTCATACGCCTTGGTTTTGAGAATCCAGAATGCAATCCTAATTGACCGGGAGCGAAAGACAGCGGTAAATCTCCTGCACTTGAAGTTGGGAACGACCAAAATAGTCCACCGGGTCCACTCGCCGAGCCGATTTGAGGCGACATACTGCTAGAGTACGCAAGCGGATGTGTTTGGTTATCTAAACTCTCCAGGCCAAATCGTGCTTCATTTCGTCAGTCCGATCGATCAAATAGATGTTCTTCTCTCTTGGATCGTGGGGTCGGACGTGGTCAAGTGACTTCCGCCATCGCTTGATGGGTGTGATTTATCTGCCTATGATCACGCCCGAGAGGAACCGTTTCACTTACGGGACAACGGATTGGGCTCAGGGGAAGAAGCTCCACTGGCATCCGACCGTCCCAAAAGCTCCTGAAGCTGCTTCAGCTCTTCTTCCAGGTCTGCGTTTCGTCTCTTGATCTGCTCCAGCTCCTTGGTATCTTCATGTTCTGACAATTGTCGAATCCGTTCCTCTAACTCTTCAATATGAGCTTTTGTCCTTTGGCGAATCAACCTCTGAGATTCACGATCGTTCGCACGTTTTCGAGAGAGTTTCTCAGGAGTCAGAAGAGAAACACTTCGGCTCCCAGCGCGAGGTGCTGCAATTGTCAGAGAAGGATACCAAAACATTCGCTGCGGGCGCAGGTGCACTGTGAGATAGACATCCTACTCGTACCTCTGCGTTTCGGTGCAGGTTCTTCGTTTGCTGCATCTCTACTCTCGGCGACCTCTTTCGGGTCGGGATATTCGGATTGGCCGTCGGCCATTGTCAAGCAAGCGATCCCCAGGTACGCTGTGGTTAATCAGTTGGTGCCACAATCTATCGGAGGGCCTCTTTCTCCTCGGCTCGTGGACTGTGAGCTCCGGTATCAATGTAAGGAGAAACGTTGCAAACGTGAGGAGGGGGCCGCCACACGGATATGCCACATCTTTTTGTAGGAGGTTGTTGGTGTACGAGAGGAAGCTGGAATGGGTGAACCTTGCGGCCATGCGTCTCGAAACAGGGGGAATTTTCCCTTAGAAGGCTGAGAGGGAGGAATGCACCAGTCAAGACGAGACAGAACGAACGAAGGTGTCGAAGTATGCGACCCAAGGTCCATTGGCTCGGTTGGGCTTACCATGGCTCTTAAGGAGCGAATGGACACTTTTGAATTTGGTGTCGACGTGAAATGCCATTCCTGCCATGAGTAAGTAGAGTACGGCATAGATCGGGCCTGTGGTAGAAGCATCGCGAATTTGACTTTTCACCAGCCTTGTCACAAAGTCAAAATTTTATCATGAGGGCAATTTGAGCGATTTCCGTATCGGTAGGCTGCCCGGCTCGTGCCTTTCTCTTCAACAACACATGATTGTGCGTGTGTGTGTGTGTGTGTGTGTGTGTGTGCGTGTGTGTATATGTATGTATGTATGTATGTACGTAGGTATGTACCTACGTAGGTATGTATGCACGTATGTGTATGTAGATACCTGTTTGTGCGCGTCTACATCGTGGGTGTGGGCGCGCCAAAGATCTGCCTCGAACCCAAGAAATAAGCAAGCAAGCAAGCAAGCAAGCAAGCCTACCTACCTAAGCTCGAGCTGTGGCAACAGGATACCTAGTACAGCAGTACCGTAAGTGCCTACCTCGGTACATCCATACCGTACCAGCCACAAGCTCGCCCGCCACACGAGGTTATTTTATGGAGCGGCTCAGCGCCCGGATCTACTACTAAATCCGCAAAAGCTTTGACAAATAGGTCTCACCAAAACAATAATATAGTAGTAGTAGTAGTAGTAGTAGTAGTAGTAGCAGTACCGCTACTACGTACTAGGTACGTACCCTATACAGTAGTACCACACGCGGAACGGACAGCCCTACAGCAATACCGGTAGTACTGTACAGTAGTAGTTACCGCCTGAGGGTGCCTCCAAAGTTTATTCCGCCGGTGAGATTGTATTGCCAAGTTGCCACAATAGCCTGTTTGGCTCCTCGCCGTCGCACGTCCGTGCAGATATACTACGTACTACGTACTTCGTACAGTACAATCGACTTGATCCTTGAGCAGGATCCAACGCTCAACCCAACTTGAGCGTCAAGTTTTGGTTGCGGTTTACGCGTTGCCAAGGCCTGTTGGGCGCGCAGAGTAGGTAGTGGGAGTCAATAGGTGGGGACGTGGGAAAAAACGAAAAATCGAATTTCGTCGTGGCAGTCAGTGCCTAATCGATCCTCTTTCCTAATATTATTTTCTTTTCTTCTTCTTCGGGTTTACCGTATATCATCTTCTGGCTGTGCGAGGTACGTAGGTACCGGTAGATCTACCGTATCGCCTCGTCGGCCGGCTTGGATTCAATCGTTGTGAAACATCCCGACGACCTGGCGCAAGGTCGGATCCATCTCCTGCGGATTACTACGTACAACGTACAACGTACAACGTCACAGGCGTACGCAAGTGTTCCTTACACCCTGAGGATACCTACCTACCTAGGGTACCTGAGCCAGGACGTCTAGAGTGGAGGTTTAGACTTTCAAGGCATCCTCAGGCTGGAACCCTTGGGCCTGTACCGTGGGTAAGTAGATGGAAGGTTACCGACGATTACCGTATATCCTGGACTTTCTTTCCAGTAATATATATATATTCCCTTTGCAATGTCAATGCGCGCGCCCGCGGTGTCCCTAGCATCCTCTTGGTATTAGGTATACCGGTACTACTCTCTTCATCCTCGTCTAGTTAATCGCAGGGCGCGCAGCCATGTCCCTGGCATGTTCTTCGTACTACTTATATTATCCCTTTTCGGATGAGTGGGTCGAGCGAGAATAGGTTTCGGGGAACGTCGGGCGAGGGAGAGGGGGGTATTGAGGAAAAAGCTTACAGCTCGAGCTTGCAACGTGAGAGTTGGCGCTATTTGCTGCAGCTGGGATTTGTATGGTGCATCTGGAGTTGCAAGGTCAAGATACTACGTACGTAGTACGTAGTACTACGTACAGTAGGCACGGTAGAAGATGCACGCTGCACAGGATTTTCGCGCACGACCTAAACTAAACAGATTGGGCAAAAGCATGCATGCAACTTGAATCGGGACGGGGACGGCCACGGGACGCTCACGGGACGCTCATTGGACGGTCTCTTCCAATGGGACGGTCCATGACTGTATTAGCTAAGCTGTTCCTGGATAGAGCTTAGTACAGAATTTACGCGGTCCAATAACCGTCTTTTGTAGAAACCTTTAAGGTAGGTCCCGGTCTAGGAAATCCTAAGTGGGTACTTGATCAGCTGTTTTTAATGCGGCTTTATTTACGAAAAATCATTAATTTACCGACCGACCGACCTACGTCTCAACAATCTAATGCTTCAACGAGCCAGAAGACGGCCGGCCTGATACCGAGGTAAACTTCTCTCCCTCGCACTGCTGGGACCTAGCGAAATTTTCCCCGCCAGCCCGCCAGGGCCGACCCGATTTCATCGCTTGGAGTTTTCAAGCGATCAGTTTGCCGCGACGCAAGCTGGTTGCGCCCGGCGCTCTTGCTAGTCAATTGCGAGTAGAGTCTTTACAGTGTATTTCAGCAGTCAAACACGCGCAGATGGCGAAGATGACTGTGCAATCGAAGGCACCTTTTTTTTAAAAAAAAAAAAATCGATCAAGTTAAGGCAGGCCTGTTACGCGCCCGAGGCTAGAACAAATTGCCGGGGCAACTGCCATTGCCCTCTGAGATGGCGGAGTAAACGACCTTATCATCAATCATAAGAAAGGCGTTACCAGCCGTGTACAAAGCCTATGCAATCTCTGGATTGTCATCTTTCACCGCCGAGACAAGTTCTTCCAACCCGCCAACTTCTCTTGGCCCATCGAAGCCTTGAGGGGGCAGAGCCCATGATGGCAGAGGGCTGAGATAGCTCCAAGATCCTCCGGCATCTTCGTAACGGAGGCTGTGCAACCACAAGGAAAGTTCCTGCTCACCAGGATCAGTGTAAAGGGGCGTCTGGCAGACATCGCAAAGCTCTCCTGACATCTTCTCGGCCTTTTTTTTGTTATATTCGTCCACCATTTCATCATGGTATGCGACGGCATCAGCAACCTCTGACTTTCCCATTCGCGAGAGTCGAGTTATGATATCTTCGTCCGTATCCTGGGAGGCATCCACATCGTTAGCTCCGAGCCTGTCGCCCCAAACGCGCCTGTTGCAGTAAATCGGATCATTCGCGATTGGATGACCTAAAAATTGCAAATGGACCCGGAGCTGATGCGTTCTCCCTGTCACAGGGAGACACCTCACAACCGAGTATCCTTCTTCAGTGCCGGGTCGGGAATTATCATCTTCGCCTAGCTGCGATGACTCTTTGTCGAGTGTAGGCGGGTAGTAGGCGAGCTTCTTGAATACCGTGCGGGCCGACTTTCCATTTGCTCGAACACGATTGAGTCCTAGCTTAGGAGATATTTGCAGAATCGGCTTGTCACAAACAACCTCACCATCGGGAAATTCTCCCTTCACTCTGGCAATGTATTCCTTCCTGACAGTTCTTTGGGTGATTTGTATGCTTAGCGCCTCTGCAGACTTTGGATGCTTCGCAATAAACATGACCCCACTTGTCAATCTATCAAGCCTATTGCATGGCAGCGGGTTCCAAGCGTGTCCTCGTTCTGCCCTCATGATCTCCACTACCGAGTTGTAGTTGTAACGACCAGCTGGATGCACTGGGACTCCAGACGGCTTGTTGATCACAATCATATCTTCGTCTTCGTGCAAGACAGAGATGGGCAATGCGGTAACAGGAGGTTCATGCCGATGTAGGGTATGGGATATAACATCCCCGTTCTTGACTATGTGCTGTGTTGTAGGCACGGGCTTACCGTTCACTGTGACCGCTCCGCGTTCTATGGCATCTTTCTATGTCTGTTAGCTGGTCTCTGGATATGTCTCCGTCTCCCGGACTTACATAGTACTCCAGTGGCCTGTCTCTGAACTCGCTCGCGAATATATCCAGCAATTCTCTTCCGCGCCATCTCTCCTTGCAGTAGGTATTGTACGTGAAATGGTACGGCGCGACCCGCCGCAGACCATTTTCAAGAAAATATGGCCGTGGCCACGGGTCGCAAGGCGTAATCACCACCGGAGGAGGCTCCTGAAGGGGCTTCTTCTCTTCGAGCGGGGGATAAGTCGCCGGCCGAGACGAAGCTTCAACAAGCGCCATAGTGCTGACGATTGCGGCGCGCCGACGAGCGAGCAACGCTATTATTCTTGGTGATGGCGCCAGCGGATACTCGTGTGTATGCGCGTATGCGTGTGCGTGTGTTTGCTGCTAGAGCCTGGTGTTGTATTGACTCACAAGGGTTTGGTCGATGGGTCGAGGGGTGGACGTGGGCAGCAACAAAAAGAAATCTTCGATGACACTCCGCCCTCCCTACCCCTGCAATTTTCAGCCCCTTGTGGCTGCACTTGCCCTCATCCCACAACCTCGGCCCGTTCATTGTTCCTGCATCGACCGCATCTTCGACTTCTCCTTTACACCCCATAATACACACTCTCATTCAAGATCAACAGCATTCTTCCGCGCTGCAGAACATCCGGTTTCAGTTCGCTGTAGCTGATGAATCCCAACAGTCTTCGTATCATCACTTGAGCACACTGACATGGCTCCCCAGGACCTCAAGCAGCGCAGGAGGGAAGACTATGGTTATATTCTGGACTATCGAACCAGATGGTCAGACAATGATATGTATGTGTTGGTGGAATCCTCTGTACTCTTTTACAGGTTTGCCCAGGCCTTCTGAGTGTTTCTCTTTTCTCTCCCTGAAACGTACTTTCCAAATCCATCTCAATGCTGACACTGATGTCCAGGGTATGTCTATCTTACGGAGAGAAGTCTTAAAGCCGTTTTCTCTAGTCCCTATAATTAGCGAAGATGGGCTTTTTTCTCCTCATGCAACCCTTTTTCCTGCGAAGTCGATGACTGATTCCTGTCATATAGTATGATCATATGAATAATTCGATTTACAGTACGTACGGGTTACCTTCTGCTTGAATGGTAGCTTGCTAACTCTGTGGAGACTTTTTGTAAGCGAAGCTCGCCGCTTTTCACATCTTCTCCAGGTCAAGGCCTCTGATTACTTTCAGATATGATTCGGTAGTCAATACCTATCTAATCGAGGAGGGTGGTATGCACCCACCGACATCAGCCCAGTAAGGATCGCGTCTTTACTTGCGTATATGCTTCTATGATATGTTCCGAGTATCTTCGAAAGTTTGTTGAAGTGCAGGGGAATGCACAGACTGGCTTGGATATGGATTTAAGCAGCTACTATGGTTTGTAATCAAGCTGGCACTATTCTGATCGCTCAGGGCTCCGGTATCCCAAGCAGCTAGGATTGGCAGAGCGAGAAAAAAATAGTTTCTCTTGCTTTTAACATCTGGTTATCGCCTTTCATGTAATGTGCTGACCAAGAGTGCTGCCAGGTATGGACTTATTGTGCACTCCCACGGTGACTTCTTTGGATCGATCGCGTTCCCAGCTGTTGCAGAGCTCGCTCTCCGAGTCAACAAGCTAGGTAAAAGCTCGGTCACATATGAGGTCGCTCTCTTTGAGCGTGGTGTTGAGGAGGTCAAGTCTGTTGGAGAACTCATCCATGTATTTGTTGAAAGAGAGACTGGTCGACCAGCATCGAAGGGCATGGATAGCAAATTCAGGGATGCCTTGCAGAGGATTCTGGTCAAACAATCGAAGCTTTAAGTCGTTGCACAGATGAATGGGTACATTCTTTCTATTCTCATCGAGTTCAACTTTGAGCCACGTGACTGTCCATTATCCGAAGCCCCAGTCAGGAAGGAACGCGCAATTACCTAAACATAAAGCTAAGACTTATGAAGATTCCGTGACTTGTCCCCACGTAGAGCGGTAATTGATTTAATACGGGACGTAGCTCCTGTCATCAGATCCGAAGGTGAATTTTGCCTCAGTATCGTCATCATGGAGTGAATGGGTTTGGGTGGCTGGCTCGCTTCAATCCGGAAAAGCGTTGCTATTGTAGAATAGCGAACTTGCCAGAAAAAAATTCGCCAAGCCTCTAGTCTCCCACTTACAATTGTCCCTCGCTCTTATTGTTAATCGTTCTCTTCTTTCTGATTCCCTCAAGTAACTCGTTCTCTTCCTTCTGCTTCCCACAACCAATTCGCCCTCATCCTTCTACTTCCCACAAAAAGTAACTCGTCGCAATGCCTCCCTTCCTCTCAATACCGTACTCTTTCTTTAGCAAGCTCAAGAATCTCGGATCTGGCACACCAGCAGCTCCACCTGCGATCACAGAGCCACCCGCGTCCGTACAGCGCCCAATCACCAGTACCATGGCTCCTGTCGCAAGACCACATCTCGACCCAAACCCCAAGACGGCTCGACTGTTGAACCTTGATAGAAACCGAACTAGGCAGTGGTGTGCGCCTTCACCGGGAGGACATCCTGGCCTCGGTCTGTTCCCCGGCCTCTACTCACCTGGTCCGAAGAAGCGTCTTCCCAAGGAGCCGCCTGCTCTATACCCGGGATTGACACCATGGATGCATGACTGGTACGTTGGTTTGCGCTCAGCTTTGTCCCCGGCCTACAAGTTTAACACGTCAGCAGGGCTACCGATCTGAACGACCAGCTGCCAGAAGATGACGGCTTTGAGTGGGACAGCACAGATATCCCCGACGATGGCTTCTCGCTTGGCGAGCCCCTGGAGGAGCTCAACTACTGGGAGCAGAACTGGATCGACAAGAAGCTCGAACAGGAGGCGGCCGAGAAGGAGAAGAGAAAGATGCAGTCTCTCAAGAGGAAGCGGAGCGTGCCTTTGACTGCCGCCGGTCGCAAGAAGCTCTACAAGAAGCGCGCAGCGGAGTCTACCGTGGAGAGACTCAATGGCAAATTCATGAGGAAGGAGCCGGTCATTAGTAAGTCCGTCCAAATTTCCGTGATACGCCCTGCGGAGTATCTAACTGGAAACCACAGTCATCGGAGACGAGGAAGCCGATATTGCCCACCAAGCCACTATGAAATCAATCATGAAGTCACTGGTGAGTCTCATCCGACGCATCAGGTGAAGAAGACCGTACTGACTGTCATGAAGGCAAAAGCGAGGGAGGACTGAGATTTTCGGCGACTCCAGCCCACTGCAGAGGACCAGCCCAGCCATTGCCCATTCATCTACGACCACTTGAATTTTTCCGACATGGTGTGCATTCTGGATTGCCCAAAATTCAAATAGATATTGGGACAGGGAAAAAAAGTCGAAAGTCAGGATACGCGCTACAGTAAGCCCGTCCGGCCACCTCGTTCCCCAAACTGCTTCTGCTTCACCTCTGAAACTACTCGACCAGAAAACACGTTTACAGTAGCCGACGCGAAAACGCCATATTCCCATTCTGGTAACCCGTCCATCCATCTTTGTGTCACCTGGCTGGCGGCCGGGCAGCCATTTCTAAGAACGCCGATCGGCACTAGACTGGTCTTTTACCCCGCCTTTGCCCGCGTCGCATTTTATGTCTGGGGGAGGGGGGATTGCAATCGGATGGTAGCAGCAGCCTTGTTCTCGGTTTCTCCTCGGTGACGTGTGCCCGCGCCGGTCAAGGCGAAGGAAGATGGGGATGGGTCCAAAGCCGATGGGAGACTTCCTACTAGAAAGCTATACCATCCACTTTCTCCAACTCTCCTCAGTCTCTTGCCGCGCACCTTCTCCCTTTGACTACACGTGAGCAAGCTCTCGTCTTGTGAGCGATAAGATTCCGGGTTTCTTCATCATACCGTTCGTGAGGCTCTCTCCGTCTTGATACAAGATGTCAGCGCAGGACGACAAGCTCGAGAACGGCATCGTGGTCGATACGAGCTCCGATAAGGCGATTGACCTTCGTATTGATAATAGCGAGACTGGTACTGCGAGCGCTGCGGGGGGCAGTGCTCGACCGAGACGTGAAGCCCCTGAGTTCATTCGCAGCATGGCGCCAGAAGTGAGGGCGGCAACGGAATTACGATTGAGGAAGAAGCTCGACCTGAGAATCATGCCAATGATCGTCCTGATGTACATTATGAACTACTTGGACCGAGTGAGTGGTCGTCGCAGTTGGGTTGAGTCAGGCCAGCGGGGACCCGGTACTGACAACGTTTTTCGGAATAGAACAATATTGCAGCCGCCAAGCTGGCAGGTATCATTACGGATCTGAACCTCTCGGATGTGGAATTCCAGGTTAGTCTTCGAGAACCGTCAGATTGATCAAAGGCTGGGATGTTCGTTGATTGGGATTTTTCTTTTCTTTTCGTTTTTTTTTAGACAACAGTCTCGATCCTTTTCGTCGGCTACCTCCTGATGCAAGTCCCTTCCAACCTTTTCCTGAATAAGATCGGGAAGCCGGCCATCTACCTGCCAGTCTGTATGGTCATCTGGGGTATCATCTCGACGGCCACCGCAGCGTGCCAGAGCTATGGAGGACTTGTCGCGTGTCGGTTCATGCTGGGCTTCGTTGAAGCCGCGTACTTCGTAAGGCCTCTACCATTCATTGACACCCCTCGACTCTCAACACAGCAATAGCAGCAGTAGCAGCAGCAGCAGATAGCTGACAAAAACCAACCCAGCCTGGGTGCTTATATTACCTCTCCTGCTGGTATACCCGCAAGGAGCTCGGCTTCCGCACCGCAATCTTCTACTCTGGCGCCTTGATCAGTGGCGCCTTCTCCGGCCTCATTGCAGCCGGCGTCAGATACAACATGGACGGCCTTCACGGCCTCCGGGCCTGGCGCTGGCTCTTCATCATCGAAGGTGCCGCCACCATCGGCATCGCCATCGCGGCCTTCTTCGTGCTGCCCAACTTCCCCAGGACCACCTCATGGCTAACAGCCGAAGAGCGAGCGCTGGCAATCTGGCGTTTGGAGGAAGACATCGGGGAGGACGACTGGCTCGACAGCGAGCACCAATCCTTCACGGTCGGCCTGAAACTGGCGTTCTCGGACGTCAAGACCTACGTACTGATGTTCTTGCTCTTCGGCATCGTAGCCGCGGGGACGGTCACGAATTTCTTCCCGTGAGCGTCTCCCTCCCCCTTCTGCCCAAGCCTGCAACTGAGCTGACCACCACACAGGACGGTCGTCAAAACCCTCGGCCAGAACGACGTCAACACGCTCCTGCTGACAGCACCCCCCTACGTGCTGGCAGTAATCACCACCTTCCTCAACAGCTGGCACGCCGACCGCACCGGCGAGCGCTTCTTCCACATCGCGCTCCCCCTCCTCTTCGCAATCGCCGCCTACGTCCTCGCGGCAGCCACCACGTCCACCGCGCCCCGCTACGTCGCCATGATGCTCATGGTGCCCGGCGTCTACACCGGCTACGTCGTGGCGCTGGCCTGGATCTCGAACTCGATCCCGCGGCCGCCGGCGAAGCGAGCGGCGGCCCTGGCCTTCATCAACGCCATCAGCAATTCGAGTAGTATCTACGCGAGCTACATGTATGGTGCGACTTATGCGCCGCGCTATGTCGTGGCGATGGGGGTGAACTGTGCCATGGCGAGCATGGCGATTCTGGCAGCGGTAGTTCTGAGGGTTATTTTAGTGAGGCTGAATCGGAAGCTCGAGCAGGGGAAGTTCGTGGACGGTGCGATTAATTCTGGTGGGTTCAAATATCGGCTTTAGGTCCTAGATTGTCTCCCTCTGCGGGTCGAGGATATGATATCTGGCCTTCAGGGTTAGCATGCAGAATATTACCAGCACGAGCCCAGAGGTGTGTTTAAGAGTAAAGGCTTGAGCCTGTATGAAAATTGGTTTGAAATTTTCGTAGACTGGACAAGATACAGCACCCTCAGAGTTGAAACTCGTGTCTGTCTTGACCAAAACCCCATATCAATCTTCAAGTCTTCCCGAGGAATCCCTGTTGTACAGTCTTAGAAGAAATTGTTACCAATACCGAGACTTCCGTACCCGTCAAAACGCCTCTCAATTCTCCCTTCTCCCGAGGCTTTCTCTGCCCATTAAACAAAATGTCTACCCTGCGTCGGCTGCGGATAACTACGAGAATGGTTCTGATCCTGGGGTGGGTAACTCATCTGATTCAAGTTGATATCCCTTTGTGCTACCGATTGTGTACTGTTCCACGGCTGGGATTGGTAACCATCAGACACATCGTTGGGTGTGAGCTTCTGGTTGTTGTCCCTACGAAATCTCCAGAACGCGAACGGGCCAGCGAGGACAATGACAAGGAGAACACAGGTCAGCAATGCCCAGTTATATCTAGAGTTCAGGGCGAGGGGAAAGCCAAGGAAGCCGTTGATTATTCCTGCTGGGATGATAAATCTTCCAAGCCATAGGTGGATGGGTACCAGCTTCGTAGTCGCTTGTGTTCGCTTGTAGATTCGGTGATGCGTGAAGCCAAGGACCCATTGGCCGATCATGGCGATTATGATAATAATACCGAAGATCTGATGGGCAGATTGGAAATGCATAGTCTTTATACTGTTAGAAACCGACAGGATTGTCAACCTGATGTGAGGAATTACGCGGTTGTACTCCAGCCCAGCATATATTCCAACACCAGCTCCGATCAAAGCTACAGCACCAGATATCGTCTGAGCTATTCCGTGCCATCTCGGACTCTTCAAGACCCGCAGTATCAGAACTGCAAGCGGCATGAGTCCAACGAATGTCAGAATCATCAGAACAGCATGGGCTGGCGGGCCAAAATCGTTGTCCGACTCGTCCGAAGTCTGGGTCGTTCCTATCGAGTTGGCAAATGTTATGATAGGCACTCCTGCCACACCCACAGCTTTTGTCAAGTCCATAGTAAAAGTTCCGTAGAGATCGTGGCGTTTGATATCGGCTGTCAACGAATTACTCTTCAAGCTCCCACCTGGGCCGGTGGCATAGATGAATTTCGTTGCGGTCTCCGCAGGATTGATAGAGCCTCTTTTCCAGGATCTGCAGTTTGAGCACATTGCGTTGACTGTATAGTTCCCGTTCTCGATTTTAGTGCCTCCTAATACTGAGATGGAGATGTTCTTCGTATGGGAGGGTTCGACGTGGTCGTACGAGAGCCGGGGGCTAAGTGTGATGTTCTTGCCTGTGGAATCGGCGTAAGCCATGAACATCAGGGAGTTCTTCATCTCGTCGCTACCCAGACCGACGGCCTGTAGGATACTGTTAGCATTACTTCAAACAGAGGGGTCGCAGACGTACGATCCAGGTGCTGACGGACGGCGCCTGCATCGCGAAGTACAGTTCATCGCTTTGGTTATCGTTATCCTCGGGAATGTTGAGGGCAAAGTTGATGCTCCCATCTTTAGCAGAGAAACTGGAGCCAATAGTGGTATCAACAGCTGTTGACGTCGAGATAAACAGTGATGCTGTAAGGATGTCAGTGCTGGATCTCTCGGCGCGGATCCTGAGCTAGGATGCCTCCGCCTTACGGACAGCCCACCAAAATACCCCGGATTTCAGGGACGTACCCGCGGTGGCCAGTGCTGCCCAGCTTAGTCTTACCATGGCGTCTCTCTTCTCGTCCACTTTTGATTTCTTTGCAAAGTTAGTGTTCGTATGTATGTATCTATGTATCAATGTATATATGTAGCCGCAATGAGGAAAAAGATCCAGCTTGCCATGATATTAACGCAGACTTAAGTAAGTAGGTCGGTCAGTGCCGCCTATTCATTCCCCCACACCCTTTTGCCCGCCGTTGCTGCATGGCCAGGCAGCGCTAATTCGCAACAGACTGTCACTGCTGGCCTGTGAAGCGCTCGCTTTGCCTCTACACCCGTCTACTGAAAAATCGCGGCGCTTCGGAGGCCAAAATAGTAGCAAGATGGACCAATCACGCCGACGATGTCTGATCCAGGCACTCTCGAGTTAGTAAAAGAGATGTCGTGATTGGGGAGTATTTCGGTGCTTCAGGGCAAATTTTAATGTAGTGGAAGAGAATGTCACCAGGAGACGGAAAGCTGGTTCAAGCACGTCCGTACGTATGCTTTCTGCACGTCGCTTTCGATGGCCAGTATTTTGTTTCATAGAGATCAGGAAATGAGAGATTGGAAACCAGATATTGGACAAGGGTATACCGGAGCTTCAGATGTCCAAGACTCTGCTGTTGATCTCCTGCTCTCAAGTTCTCAGTCTCTGGTTCCTGATACTACGAGCCGCTGCCTACTCGAGTGCTCTTAAAGAGCCAGTAAGCGAAGCGCCTTGTTTATTTTGTTGCGAGTCGCGAGTCTGTTCTATGTCACCTTCCTTCCTTTTGCATTTGTCTCTAGCACTTGTCTCGAAACTAGCTTGGGCCTGCTGACCGTGATATTTGCCTAGGGGGAGAAAAGAGGGTAAATTCAACCAGGTTCGCTGTTCCCTTTTCTCCTAGGAATGTCAACAGGACCCCCTTCAGTAAAGGAAGGGTATTGGAGCAAGTTTATGATTATTCTTTAGCCACGGAAGCTACCTCAAATTATGATATGAGGTTTGACATAAAAGTTTTCGGATACGAAATACAAGATTCCTTATTCATAGTTTCATAGTTGCATATAAGCATGGCTTCGGGTCATCAGATATGACTATGTATTTCATGGGTCGGGCCACCAGCTTAACTGTTTTGTAAAAATATAAGCTTATCTTATGCAAGGTTTGAAAGAGCTGTGCCAAGATGATGGGCTGCCAGGTGTTAATAATGTTCCCCTTCCTACGATGAAAAGGTTCCTGCTCTCTCCCTCAAGCTCACCATCTGGGTCTTTAAGTATGGTTGAAGGGAGGGCACCAGGTCTCTGCATTGCCGGGATTCGTCCTGGCCAATGCAATGCCACCTTCCATCGCAAAGTAAACTTTCCAATGCGGACCAAACCAACGAACTCTCAATCGACTCTTCCAACACCAGCCCACCCCTTACAATGTCTATTGGAGTCGCAATCATTGGAAGCGGAATCTTCGTGACGGAAGAGCACCTGGTATGTATCCCAGTATATCAAGCACTATTTATAGCTCCAACATCAGTAGCTGACTCGTCATCTCCCTTGAGCCCGCCGTCAAAGCCAGCCCGAACCTCACTCTCAAAGCCATCTACTCGCGCTCTCTCAAATCTGCACAAGCTCTCAACACTGGAGTTGACCTGTACTCGGAGGACTCGGGTGACGGAAAGACATACGGCGATCTGCTGCTCCGCGAGGACATCACAGCCGTCATCATCGCCCTCCCAATCCTTGCGCAACCCGAGTTCATCGAGCAGGCTCTCATCGCCGGCAAGCATGTCCTCTCTGAAAAGCCGATTGCAGGAAACATCAAGCGTGCGGAGGAATTAATCCAATTCTATAAGGGCGAAAGGGTCAAGCATGGTGCAACGTGGGCTGTGGCAGAGAACTTCCGGTTCTTGGACTCGTTCAAATTCGGTAGAGAGCAGGTTGAGAAGCTGGGCAAGGTCCTAGGGTTTAGGGTTAAGCAAGCTGGCAAGGTCAAGATGGGAGGGAAGTACTTTGGTGAGCTCTGTTGCCAGAGTGTGTCTGCAGCGAGTCTGACCTGCTGCAGAGACTGCTTGGCGTAAGAGGCCCGACCATCAAGGCGGCTTCCTCCTCGATGGTGGTGTTCACTTCGTTGCCGGTATCAGACTTCTGCTGGGTAACAACGCCAAACCTACGGCCTTGTCCGCCTTTACACACCTCCTGCAAGAACATCTTGCTCCGGTCGATACTGTCGATTCTATATGGCAGACGAAGTCCGGGGTCACAGGCACATTCTCAGCTGTAAGACATTGGGGCATCATATTGTTTCCCCACTCATCTAGTTCGATCCTGAAATATTTTCAACTCCCTTCCCGAAACATATATGTATAGCAAACACTGACGCCCCCGTGATCCAGTGCTTTGGAACTACGCTCTCTGGTAGCGAGTATACAGTAGCCTGTGAAAATGGCAGTGTAACGGTCATCGTCAGGGAGAAAGTCATCGTTCGCCTGGGAGAGGAGTCTGACAAGAATTTTAAAGAAGAATGGTTCAAGGAAGAAGGCAGTGGTGTCAAGCAGGAGGTCAAGGCTTGGGCACAAAGTCTTGTTGACCGCAAGCCTCTTCCAGCACAATCTCCTGAGGAAGCCCTCATCGACCTGGAGATTTTGGAGAAGATGCTGAGGAGTGGGGAGCAAAACGGACAGTTGCAGGCTTTGAATTACTAGGTTCTGGGTGGTGATTCGAGGGAGGGGAACACAGCACCGTCTCTCTTCAGAGTCTTCACTTACCTTATGTGGCACTGAAACAGCACCACAACCTCATCTTGCATTTTCACATGGATTTGGAGCTGTAAAGGTATTACATGGCTGCAATGGCTTGCTCTTGTGGCCTATATCTACCGGATAGCCCTAGATGCCCGCCTATACATGCAGATATCAGTGGCTGTTACAATCATAGAAGCTGTAATCGCGTATGATGTGTGTAGCCATCCCTCCCCACACTTGTTCCACGCCAATTGTATCCCTGAATCACTGCATTTAGGACAACCGCTCGCTGTGCCAAAGACAAAAAGTCCATGGCCCGCCACAGAGCAGTCAAGAACGCGCTCGTGGATGACCTTGGAAGTACAGTCGGTGTCGTGGCTGGTTGACCCGCATACTAGGCAAGAAGCAACAGCAGCATCTGTCATCATAGAGATGTCCATGCTGCTGGCTGTCCTCTGTAGCTTCTGATCTTGCTCCTCATCCTCTTCTTTTTCTTCTTCCTCTCTGATCGTCTCCATCGGATCGAGCTTGCTTTTCTTCATCTCATGCTCTTGCTCTCCTCTTCCGATATTCACGTTTAGCACCGGCGCTTCGGTACTCTTGCGCGGTGAGATGGTGAGGTTGTTCGGCGTCAGACCTGGGAAGCTCTCTTTCTCGTTGGGGACTGTAACAAATTTTAGCACTGCTCGCTCCTCTTCGGGACATCAATTAAGTACTGCAAGCTTACAGAGAGAGTCCCAAATCCAGCGCTGAACCTGCCATCTCATCTGCTCCGCCGGGAGGTCCTCGTACCCCGCGTCAAAGAGCCTGTCCTCGAACTCAGCCATGCGCTCCGCGAGGTAAGCATCGTTGTAGTTGTAGGGTGGACTCTTGGCCTTGGCTTGGATCTTCTCGCCGATGGAGAACTGGGAGCGATCCATTCCGGTGGTGGTTGGGGATTCGATCTTGTGGGGCCAGATTGGTTTGACTGGGAGACGTTCATATGTGCCATCTTAATTCCGCACCTTGAGGGCATCTAGGCTATCAAAGGTGAATGGAGTCGAATCTAGCGACGCTTCCGCCTCGCTTGGGATGTTTATATGGGTCACGTGTTTTTTTTTCTTTCATGTATGAAGCTGCCGGAAGGTTGGATGTTTCGTCGGTATGAGCTAGACTGAAAATCGAGCAGTATTGGCGCCTGGAATTTCCTAGTTCTAGTGTCGTTATGGTTCATTTTCTGAAGCCGATCACATGGATCGCTGTTCGCGGCAGGATCGAGAAATGTGATGAAGTGCTCACAGCCAAATCGCCCGCACCGCCGCTCATGGTAGTCTACCGCGTGGCACTCCTCTCAGTTCAGGCCTTCTGGTTCTTTTCTGCCTCGGAACTATTCGACGTTCTGTTCCAAGTTGCCTGGTTTTCGCTGGGCATCATGTGGACGGTTCAGGGTAGGAACCTGGCTCACTCTAAGTCTTCGGCTATCCTTCAATTGGAGCATTACCTGTCGACATAAAGATCCAAGTTAGTGACGGTGACAGACCAGCAAGCAGAGAACACAGGCTATACCTATCTACAATGAATAAATCTCCTACCCAGGACTCGGGCCAGGACTTGGGCCAGAGGAAGAATGACTGGAGTCTCTGGGAATTCAGGGATTTGATACGGTTCAACTATTTTTCAGTAACCGATATTTCATCAACCGCTTTTTGGAAACCGGCCAATCTGTACAGCTCCCTGGTCCTAACGATGGATGGATACTCGAAAAAGCGAGAACTGGCCTAAATTCGGGTGTCCTTATCTTCTCTGCTAGCGATGGGGATGATAAGTTGACATCGGTAGCCGAGAGAAAGTTGCAAATGTCCCAAGTAAACATGGCCTCTTAGCATGCAACTCTCCTCCTGTTTGGTCAACTCTCGCTCCGTCCCTTAATGATCCGCATCCACTAAAATATTCTCTGTACCTTCTCTTGACGGCTCTTCATACCCATGGATAAGCGGCAGACCTGTCTTGACGGGGGAAACGTTTCGGGCATTATCGTCGAGTGTGGGTTGCGACTGCCGTCCTCTGCTCTGTCCTCTCGCCGGGCTTTGTCCAGCGCTCTATTGTAACACTTCGTTTCCTTCGCCCGTTCTTCTTGAAAGCTTTCACTCCTAGCATCTCCTTCAGCTCTCAATATTAGGCGCTGCATTTCTGGACATTAATTTGTTTATCCTGTCCCTCGCGCGCTATCGCACCTATTATTTCTCCCGGCTGCTCCTCTCATTCCTATGCAATTATGAATCCCAATACTTTTACGTCGACTGATTGATGTACTCAATTCAGTTCATCTGCCAATCCATTTCCTCGGATATCCTCTCTGCCATCCCCAGCGCTCAAGCTCAAGCTCAACGATCTCTGTCTTTCTCGCGATAGGGTCGCTCACGATACTCATGCCACACCTAACATTCCACCTCGGTGCCCTTTCATTTATCCTGTACACGCTTTTCCGCCCAGGAGACCACCACAATGCCAGAACTGCTATCCGATGAAGACTTGAGGAACTTGCAGGGGGAAGTGGTGCCGCGGAGTTTCAAAGCGGGCTATGTCGTTCTATCCTACTTCGTCAGTTATATTGGAGCCTTCACGACCATAGAAATTATCATGAGGAGGACAGCTTCGAGGGGATGGTATAACCTGTGAGAGACATGGCTCCATCGGGATTGTCACCATCTGACCCAAGATTTAGGTTCCTCCTGGTTACCGGTTCCATATCTATGGGCGGAATTTCCATATGGTGCATGCATTTCGTCGGAAACTGCGCTATTGTGCTTGGAGATGGCCAGGAACAGATCCAACTGGACATCAGTGGTGGTTTTACCACGCTGTCTTTCTTCACACCGATAGTCGTTCTGTTCATAGCTTTCGGCGTTGTGGGATCGGACGAGAGCAGTATCTTTCGGGTGGTTCTAGGCGGCGTCCTAGCTGGCTTGGGGATCTGTGGGATGCATTTCCTCGGACAAGCAGGTATTGCAAACTACGATTGCATATACGACGTCGGGGCTTTCGTTGGTGCCGCAGTAATTGCGATCGTGGCTAGTGTGGTAGCCTTGGTCATCTTCTTCATCTTCCGGTCTGCATGGAAGTCCTCTTTGTGGAAGCGGGGGCTTGTTGCTCTTATTCTTGCCAGCGCGGTCTCTGGAATGCATTGGCTTGCTTCTGTCGGCACAAGCTACCGGTATAAATTTACAGGCTCGGGCCCTTTCGCGGTATCGTACATGGCAACCGCGGTGGTGGTTGTTATCGTTTTGGTACGCAGAACTATCTCTTGACCTGAACCAACTGACTGTCACAGTCCATCATCTGCTGCATGATACTCTTTTTCCTCACACTTCTCGAGCAGGCAAGATACAGGCGGCTTGAGAAGGAAGCAGAGCAAGTGGTCTTGGCTACTGCTATCTTTGACTCCCATGGGAAGCTGTTGGTCACCCACGAGGGACTTTTACCTACGAAAAAAATTGCAAACTCTTGGCTTGAGAAAGTTTGTACAGTCGCTCCCCATTGACGTACGAGCTAACGGGCACGTAGTCGATGGATGATGTCTTCGGTGTGGCGCATCCAGTATTTCTTTGGATATTCCGGACTAGTCGAAACTGGTATGCTGTTTCAGGCTTGATTTTCGGGATGAGAAACCACATCAGAAATGCTGGTGTGAAAGGTCGTCTCCGTTCACTCGACGAGTCGGCATTGTTCACCGAAGAAGGGACTCCAATAAACGATTACTCGGCCATATTTCGAGAGCTGTTCTGTATTGCAGCAGCAGACCTTGCAGATGATCTTCGTCACCCAGTTGAGAAGCTAGGCGTTCTATACGACGAGGTGGTCACTACAGGTCTCGCAGCAAAAGCAGCAGAAAAGGGGGAAAAGAGTACTGCCACCGCAGCTAGCTCCATGCTAGATGTGGAGCGAGACGTTGATTCTTCTCTGGGTAAGGGGCAACTTCTTTTCCTTGTCAGGAAGGTCAATGGGCACGAGGCCGACGCCATGCAAGCTCATGGCTTTCGCTTTTCAGACCCGGAGAATGTTGTGACGTCTCTGGCAAAAAGCTTACGGGTGGGGCCTCGAGGACTGGCCCGTCGATTGAACATCATGCGGCATTATGCTGGAGATCATCATATGCTCGATCCGGGCGTGCATCTCGGATGCTTTGCTATCCGCGCCTCAATGGCAGTTGGAAACCGCGGATTCGACATACTTGTACGAAAAGATGCCAAGAACCAGCTGCCAGCTATGCAGAGTCCTCTCAATACTCTGGAGACATGGCAGATTGAGTATTTGGAGACCATGGACTCACAGTCCATGTCCATGTGCGTCAAACAGCTTTACAAAGCGACGAAACCGAACAATAAGAATGCGCAGCAACGAGAGTTCGCCAAAAACTTGTTGCAAACGATCGAGGCGCTGAAAGACGAGATGGGGGATCCGCTGTTTGTTGACTCGCTTCTGATAGCGAAGCCGTTCGATGTTCCATGCCGTGGCCCGACCGATCATTCAGCTCCTGGAATAGCTTCCCTCATTGCTTTTCGAATGATTCTACCGCTTCATAGCAGAGCCCCCGGCAGAAAATTGACTTTCACGCCGCTGAGTCTTTTCCAGGCACAACAACGCGTCTACCGAAATTCTCCAGATAACGCCTTCTTTGCAAGAACCATACATCGGGAATTCGCACCCATGCTGGATGTCGAACGTGTTTCAGGTACCTTCAAAGAGGCCAATTCTGTGACTCGAAAACTCACTTCAGACATTGCGAGGTGGTCTAAGTCTAATCGAAGCAGCCGACACGATGTCGGGATGGGAGAGCATGTTGACATGTACGGAAACGCCCTCCCAGATTCCTCGTCTGAGCATCGTGGACCGGGTAAAAACAGATTTTGGGATAAAACGTCGCATACGAGACGGATGGGTGAACACTCCTCCGAGCAGAATCTGATAGGCTTGGGCTCTGGGAGTGGTCTGGCTGGTCATCAAAAATACCGCAGGGATGGTGTAAACACAGGCCATGAAACTTCGAACCGACCATGCAGTGTGGGTAGCCCACCGCCAGGCGACCCAGAACCAGCTACTCAGATGCAATTGTTGGATCCAGACTACCACAGACGCGAACCATCTACTCCCAGACCAGTGCAGGAGAAGGAAGAAGAGTCGAAAATTTATGTCGACGAGCTATTCAGGTTAACGATCACAAAGAGGCAGGTTGGATAAGTGGGTTGATCGAGGCTGCTTCCGAAGACCTTCGATTAACAAAATCGATGGGGAGTTACCTGAGCGCACTACGATGCCTGAATAGACCAATTTGAAAACTGGCTGCTCTTTATGACCCTTCTATAGCTGGGCCACGACGTCTTTTTGAGATCAGCGCTGATGAATGATGACCTTGCAAATTAAGAGATTGCTGATGTGAGAAACATGCCGAGCTCGTAGCAGTTGCTGGCCTCACCAAGCCCCGAGACTATAATCTCAAGCGGTTGCTGTATCTTCCACGGAAGCAGAGCTCTGGGCCTTACTACCGGGTAGACTGTTCATTTTAACTTCTTAGTCACTGGCTTCTATAAGCGACGGCGCAACGCGCTTATTTGATACGAGTAGACTTACGTTCAAATACTGCCAACATGGCAGGTTCAGCATCCCTATAGCCGGATGACTTGTATGTTGTCTGTTTTGATATACAAATTGATATTGTTTCAAGAGTTCCTGGTCCAGTGACTTCTTATAGCTCTGGGCTGCGCTAACCCTAACCGGTGAAATAGGGGAGAACTTCCTTCCAGTCAAGCGAGCCAATCAAGTACTCCTCTAATCGTCTGACACTGGCGTCATACTACAGCTACGTACCTAGGTATATACGGGAGTAGGTATATAGTCTGTGCACAATCTTATCAGATGGGATGCTCGATAAAACACAAACAATAAATCTGCCCCTCCTCTGCGCTGTCGAACGCGAACGCGAACTCGGACTCGACAGACAACCAACCTCTCAACACCACATCGCGCAAAAAGCCAGGCAGATAAGTGCAACTATGGCTTCCGTCCAGATCCTCCCCCTCGCAGACTTCAAACCCGCATCGGGCTCGCGCGCCTGGGCCTCGATCCCGAACCCCAATGGCCTCCCACTCATCGCGACCGCCACCTCGGACAAGACGGTGCGGGTGTACTCCCTCAAGAACTTCACGCTGCACTCTACGATTGAAGATGGGCATTCGCGGTCCGTGAGGACGGTGGCGTGGAAGCCAATGACGCGGGATACGGGCAGCTTGATGCTGGCAACGGGGAGCTTCGACGCGACGATGGGGATCTGGCGCCGGAGCAAGAAGAGCCATGCTACCAGGGAGGACAAGATGCTACACACCATAGCAGCGGCAGATGGGTACGATGATGACAACGACGCGATTGAGGTGGAGATCACAGGTGACGGCGCGAAGAAGCCGGTCGCGAGATTCATGCAAGGGGAAGGGTCCGACGGTGAGGACGAGTGGGAGTTTGCAGTTGTGTTGGAGGGGCACGATTCGGAGATCAAGAATGTGGCGTACTCGCCCAGTGGACAATACCTAGCGAGCTGCAGCCGGGATAAGACTATCTGGGTCTGGGAGGAGGTTGGCGAGGAGGGCGAAGACGAGTTCGAGACGATTGGCGTGCTGAACGAGCATACTGCGGACGTGAAATGTGTATGCTGGCGCAAGGACGACGGGAACGGCGAGGTTCTCGCGAGCGGATGCTACGACGACACGATTCGGCTCTGGAGCGGAGACGACGAGGGCGAATGGAACTCTATAGCGGTTCTAGAGGGTCACGAGGGCACGGTCTGGAGTCTCGACTGGGAGCCGGAAGTCAGCCAGCGGAAGTTCGAGTCGGAGTCTGGTGTGCAGGAGTCAGACGACTACAGCCCGCCGATACCGCGGCTCGTCTCTGCGTCTGCGGACTGCACGATCCGGGTGTGGAGCAAAGCGCCCACGCCTCCCCCGGCGAACAAGCCCTCGTACTTTAACACGGGGATCCCGTCGACGATGCGGCCGCCGCCCTCGAACGAGACGTGGGAGTGTACGGCTACGCTGCCGAGGGTCCACACGCTACCCATCTACGCCGTGCACTGGAGCCAGAAGACGGGGCGCGTGGTGTCCTCCGGCGGCGACAGCAAGATTGTGGTGTACGAGGAGCGCACGCAGGGCCGGACTTGCGTCGGCGGTCCCATCGAGAGGGGGTGGGTCATCCTCGACGTGTTGGTGGGCGGACACGGCCCGTACGAGATCAACCATGTGGCGTGGTGTCAGCGGTTCGATGCCGGGAGGGGGAACGCTGACGAGGAGATGATCATCTCGAGCGGCGATGATGGCGTCGTTAAAGCGTGGGCGTTGGCGGATGTGCCGGAGGGGAATGATGCTGATGCTGCTGATGCTGCTGATGCTGATATTGTGATGCTGTCTTGAAGACAGTTTTTCTTTTTCTTCTTCTTCTTCTTCTTCTTCTTCTTCTTGAAACAGCCTCAGCGTAACAACATGTCAAGCAGAACATGGATAGACAGTGAAGAAACGGGATGGTATGGGGTGGGCCTGTGGGGATTGGAGACTTTGCTCCTCGGTACGTCTGGAAGACGGTCCAATTGGCGCGAAACACAAACAGCCTTTTCAATCGGTTCAACGGTTTTTATGCATAGCGACCGGCGCAGGCGGTAGATAGATAGATGGGTAGATGGGCAGATGGGTAGGTAGGCTATGGAGTTAAAGCTCGCTAGCAAGCTACGTTGGTTATAAATAAAAGTAAAATAAATAAAAAGCCAGGAACGAAAATGGGTATCTTCATTAGCTGGGATGCCCCCCTTTACCTCTTTCTTTCTGTTCTTTTCTTTTCTTTTTCTTCTTATTAAAAAAAAAAGGAGATAAAGAAAGTGGAGAAGGAGAAGAAGAAGGAGAAGCAGAAAAGTTCCATCTAATCTTATCTTATCTTATCTCTTATCTCATCTCATCTCATCTTATCTTAGCACAGCACAGCATAGCTACTCGCAACAAGACAGAAACAGTACAGACGGTACAGTCATCTCTTCCGCAACTGCCAACACACATACCTACATACATAAATACATACATACATACACATCTAGGTAAACCCTTCCATCTCGCACCACACCTCCTTCCTTCCTTCCTTCCTTCCATCCTCCTTCCTTCCTCCCTTCCTTCTTCCTTCCTTCCTTCCTTCATTCCTTCCTTACATCGAATCCAACAGCCTTAAACTCAAACTCTCTCCCACCGATCAACCAGCCAACCGACCGATCAACCAACCAACCAACCGTAGATAAGCCTTTTGTTAAAAAAAGATAAAGATAAAGATGAAGAAAAAGACTAAAAAAAGGATAAAAAGAAGAAGAAGAAAACAGAAACAGAAATAGAAATAGAAAGAGGAAAGTTTACAGCCCCCTCCCCCCCCCCTCCCCTCCCTCCTCTTTTTCAATACATGAAAAGACAAGACGAGACAAGATAAGACGAGACGAGATAAGACAAGACGAGATAAGACAATAGCAAGACAATAGCAAGACAATAGCAAGACAATAGCAAGACAATAGCAAGACAATAGCAAGGCAATAGCAAGACAATAGCAAGGCAATAGCAAGCGATAGCTTACTTCTGACTATCTGTGAGACCGTTTTCAAGCGTCTTTCTCTTTTGCAGAATCCCAGATGGAGAGAGTTGGCTTGATGGGATGGGGTTGAGTAGGTAGTTAGAGTTACAAGTGGAAGCGGGAAGCGGGGATGTGGGGAAGAAGGGGAGGAAGGGGAAAAGAAAGAGAGGAGGGAGGAAGGAGTGACGTTAGCTTTTAGCTTTTATCTCTTGGCTTTTGGCTTTTGGCTTTTGGCTTTTATATATGTGTGTGTACTACGTATGTGTGTGTAGATAAGTAGTAGTACCGGTAGGTACCGGTAGGTCTTATGTATTCAACCGAGCGGCTACTTATCAAGATTAATTAGCTTGATTGGGGCTTAACGAATTGCCTTTTCTTTCTCTTTATCTTTTCCTTTTTTTGAGAGAGAGAGAGAGAAGCGGAAGCGAAACATAGGAATGGAAATAAAGATGGGATTTATCGTTTGAATACCGGCTGATATCAATATCAATATCAATATCAATATCGAAAAAAAGAAAAAAGAAAAAAGAAAAATTGTATAGATATTTTTCCTCTTTTATGTAAAAGAAGGTGTCAAGGACAGAAGAGCTCTACTCGGTAAGAGAGAAGTAGGGTTGGTCTTCATGAATGGATGAGTAGTTACCTAGTTACCTAGTTACCTAGTTACCTACCTAGTTATCTAGTTAGACGCGAGAGACTATACCTCGAGGTGTACCTTACCTTTCGCCGACCAGATTATACCCAGCCTAAGCCAACCAACTAAACGATGCGATAGAAAAAAGATATATATATATATATATTCCTATCCTTCTGTTTAGCATTGTGTACCTTAGACAATATACCAACTATCAGCTATCAGTCTAAACGGGAGGGGAAGTGATATAAAGGAGGGGGGAATATCTATTTATCTATCTATATTTACATATTTACATCCCTTTCTTTCTTTCTTTCTTTCTCTCTTCCCCTCCTCTTCCTCCTTTTCCCTTTTTATTTTATTTTTATTTTCTAATTTTCTAATTTTGAATTCTTATTTTTTATTTCTCTCTCTTTTTTTTTTTATACACTCTCTCTCTCTCTCTCTCTCTCTCTCACACACACACACACACACACACAATATATATATATATATCTATCGAAACGACCACCCACCCAACCAACCCACCCAACAAAAGCAACAACAAACCAAGCCCAAGAGGTCCAGCAGGCGGGCACTAGGTAGATCGCATCATTCATGTAGCAAGCATAATCACGACTACCGGTACCTAGGTATGCAGAGGGTACCGTACCGTACCGTACCGTAAATCATACCATGTTACACGCCATATCACATTACATTATAAATCATATCATATTATAAATCATATCATATTATAAATCACATCACATCACACCACACATCACATCACACATCACATCATAAATCACATTATAAATCACATCACATCACATCACACCATACCACACCACATCAGCGGAAAAGAGAAAAAGAAAAAAAAAAATTGGAAGAGAGAAGATGACGACAGGGTGTGTGAATGAGTAAGTGATAGTGATACTGATAGAGAGGGAGAGAGGGAGAGACGGAGAGAGGGAGAGGGAGAGATGGAATCAATATATTTAATACAAAATAACTTAGAAATGGGTAGCTCACAGCGTAGGTAGACAGACAGTCATAAAGGAAAGGAAAGGAGAGGCTGGGCTAGGCTAGGCTGGGCTAGGCTTGTGGAGAGAGAGAGAGGCGGGGAGAGGAGAGATCACACCCGGGCCGGAGCAGGGAGAGACATCACACCGAAACAAGAGAAAGGAGAGAGAGAGAGAGAGAGAGAGAAGAGAGAGAGAGAGAGAGAGAGACAAGCAGGAGGTACGGTACTAAATATTATATTCAACATAGGTTGTCATACCCGTGCCATCATTTCCAGCTCTCACACTCACACACCATGCCATCGCAGACCAGAGTTCTTCCCCTCACATCATCCGGTCCACAGATATGCCGTGTACCAAGCAAAACTCATCGAAGCTCGTGGCGGTCAAATCGCCCTAAACGCCATTCCCATGTCTAATATCGTGCCCCGGAGGAGCCGCTCATCTGAAACAAAACACCTGGCGCCGTAGCACCCATGCGAATAAGCACCAAGAACATCCGCCATCTTTTCGCCCTTGCTGGGAATGGATCGGTCGTAACAAGGATTCGATCCGCGTGTGCATGCAGCCTTCTCCTTTCCAATCCCGCCCCGTTCCCATCGTCTCCGTGTCAACTAGCCGCGTGCGGCCGACTCGTGTCGGAAATAATATGTGTGAAAATACCCAGCCCATCCCCGTGGCGGGATGCGACGAAGAAATAAACTCCTCTTGAAGCTTCATGCCGGACGCCCGCAATGCCAAATAGTAAAACGCTCAAATTGCAAAAGTAGGGTATTCGTAGTTCGTAGGAGAAATCAAAGTACCAGTTCCGGCATCGCTCGTGCAGCTCCGTCGCTCTCCTCGTGAACCTGACACGTTCCACACTCTGTGCAGCAAACAGTTCCTTTTCCCGGCGGATCGCCCCTTCTGGTGATCACGCACCCCGCCTCTGCTTGGGGTTTCCAAGATGCCGCCACCGACGGATGATCGTCGAGCAGCTTCTTCGTCACAGATCCCCGTGCCTTCTATGAAGGTTTTGCGGTCCAGCTCTTCTTCCCAGCCATAGGGATCAGAGCTGACCGTGGTGGAAGTGGATCGAATACTCGCTTCCGTGGAGATCATACTCGCGGCAGAGCTTGCGACACTGGCATCGAGATTCAGAGCCTGTTCTTCCACGAGGATACTGGCCACGGTGATAGTAGTGGAGAGGCTGGTGGTCGATTCGTGGCAGATGGGGTGCGCCGAAATCCAGATCCCGTTCACTTCCTCGAAATTAAGATCCATCTCGGCCGTCTCGAATGAGGTACCCAAGGTCAGTTGCCTATCCCCCAGAGCCGAGGTATGATGGACACTCTCATCCTGCTCGGAGGGTTGCGTAGCAGTGCCACATGGCTGCTGCGGTGCAGCCTCTCGCTTCTCGAGCAACATCCTTTCGTTTTTTCCCGCTTCAGACCCAACAGGGGCATTGACTTCTGCGGCCACACCATCCCTCATGATATTTGCTCCTCTCGTCCCCGCTGATGTAACCCATCGCTCAGATCGCAACAAATCCCCGTCAGTCTCCGGACACAGGCTTGGTCGTGCCATTGCTGTCGTCACAGACGGACGCCGTCCGGTCAGGTCAATCAGAGACGGTGACTGCGGACGCAAGTCTGGAGAATGATGGGGAGTGCCCGCAGGCGGGGTTGTCACAGGCGCGATGTCTGCGACGGGGGCAGGAGAGTGAATATCATGTGGAGAGGGCGGGGCCTGTCGCCTTCATAAGCCACTGCCGTGGCTGTCGTCACTCGTATCCCTCCCGAAGGTGAATTTGGAGGTGCTCGAGTGCGAACTGTGACCGGGTCGGCCTTTTTTCCACCCTAGCTTCGCACCCATCTTCTTCCAGCTGCTGCCTTCACGTGCAGAGTGCGGGCTGGTTCCGGGCGAGGCGTCGAAGGCTGCGCTTGAGGTAGGCGGGGTGTTGGGGGGCGTCATCGGCTCCAGTGCAGATCCGGTCGGTGATTGGGAATCGGTACTGTCGTCAGTCATATTCTCGGGGCCCTCGGCAGACGACGTGCCCGACGATCCGGAAAGGTATGTCGACAGTCGAGAGACTCCCGACCGACTAGCGAGTGCGAGAGACACATGCGAATGGTGGGATTGATGGGTCCGCCGCAGCGGTAACCCTCTGCATGATTGGGAAAGGATGTCGATGCCGGAAGATGGACTGCCCCCCCTCCGGCCCCGAGACTGGGCCGGGGATAAGGTTCGCTCATCTAGGGACCGATTCCGGTAGGCGTCGGGCGAGGATTGATCGGAGGTCCATGGACTGGCGTACGAGTCGGGCCCACGTGACAAGGACACCGAGTTGAGAAACGGCACGAGCACCGACTCGTCCATCAGCTCGTAGATGATCTTGACCGCGGTATCGAGCTCGACTGGATCGGGCGGGGTACGCTTACAGGGCTGTGACAACAGGTGGTCTCGGACGTCGGACGGCAAGTTGACTTCGCGTGGTCCGTTGGGTGCGATGTAGGCGTCTAATAACTTTTGCCACAGCATCCGCACATAGTCGGCGTCGTCGCCCTTGGGCGGGCTAGGGGCAGATGCGTGCTTATCCACCATTTCCCGGTGATGCTTTGCATACCTCTTCGCATCCATGGTAAACTCCAATGTCTCTAAGCAGTGATTCTGCGACAGGTACTGCATGAAGGCGGCGAGCGTCCATGGCGGCGGCGCGGTGTTCGACAACACTTCTTGCAATGTCGGTCTCCGAGGGCAATAAGGCCCCGGAGGTATTGCTAGACTGAGTGCCCTCGAAGGCAAGATCTCTCCAGTCGACATGAAGCCTTCGTCGTCAGCGTCACAGTCCGACAGGACAGATGAGCAGCGGGGGGATGTTTCTCCGGCCGCTGTTATATGCAGACTCAACGCAGGAGGTAGCTTTCGAGTTCTCGACTTTCGCATGGCGCTTCGGGGGTATTTCATAAACACACGAAGAGCCCCAGCCTCTCACTCACTCTCTCTCTCTCTC